CAGTGAAGCTGCAATTTATGTATTTGGAAGATTATTGGTGAAGACACACGAGTTTCTATTCCAATTACCACAATAGCAGATGCCAGCGTTTATTATCTAGAGGAGCATTTTTCCCCTGTTCTTTGTCATTTCTTTATCGTTCATGTAATTTTACAGTTACAACTCTCACTGTGAACTCGCATCAAGTTCAAAGAGAGCCAGGAATGTGGGGCAGCTTCTTGCCACCTCGATCACAGGACAGACTGCAGGGCGTGGCTCAACTGTTATGGCAGAGCCCTGGCTTGCGGGGACCCAGGGACACCAGTGAGCTCGCATCCTGCTGGGTTCGCGGGAAGCACCCCACCCAGTCTTCACAGGCAAATCCTAGGTTACCGAAGCCCGAAGGGCACGGCACCCCTCACTACCACACAGATGGCTTCCATTTCTGGTTTAAGCCTTTGTGGAAAAAAGCCAAGGAAGAGATATCTTCATTTTGTGCATTATGTGAAGAGTTCTGGTCCATTAATTAAGGAAGACCTATTTTTCCTAGGAGAGTGTGGAAAAAATCAGCCACGTTGTTTCATTCTTAACAAGAGTGCCAAATAACCACCACCCAACCCCTGGCAACTCAAACCAAAAGCCTCTTACAAGTGAAAGCAGAAATGAGATCAACTTATATCAAATTCCCCCAAATAGCAGAATGTTAATATTCAAAAACCATTTTTATAGGACTTAGCATTTGCATGTGTTTCATGCACTTGGTTCTGAATGCCCTCTCAGCATCAACACTCTCACACACATACACAGCATCCTTGTGAGATGCTGGGTATGATTTTCCTGCCCTCAAAGAGGGAAGGAAATTTAAGACAGACCGAAAGCATTTTCTAAAGAAGCAATTTCCAAAAACCTGTTTGCTAAACCTTTAACATCCTCAAGACCTTGAAGGGTTCTGATCACACGTTTTCACTCTGCCATCTGTGGCACGTTTTGTTCATCTGTGTCTGAACGACTCATTTGTGGCCAAGAATCTAAGTATATCCTAAGCTTTTTTCCCCCAACAATATGAAGATACTTTAAGAAAAGGAAAAGAAAAGCCGCTGGAATTTCAGCTTGGGTAGGCCTGAGGGCTGCAGGTAAATTAAGTGCTTCTCCCTCTAGGGACCCCGTAAAGCACAGCACCTGAAGCACCTAAGCAATGTGCGGTGTCCACATCAGATGTTCAGAATGTGGGAAATGCACCAATAGAGCCATCAGGCCAGAGAGACCAGCGATGCCCCGCCACAGATGAATGTCTGAACTTGCAAGCACGTTTTCATCATCAGAATGGTAGATGCAAAGTATTCAAAGTCTTTTAAACATCTGACTAAATAACCCATATGGCCAATCTGTTGAATGCTGCCATTCTATTTACAGGAAGACATTTCTCCAGTTTTTATGGCAGGGCAGGTAAATTAGAGTAAAAATAGCTTCTAAGAAGTTAATGTATTCAGACCTGGCCGGAAGTTCTTCCACGGGCATCTTAAAGCAACAATGGCGAAAGGGTGGGTGTGCACACCATTGCTAAATGGCCAAAGAGGGTGGCACAACATATTTTGCAAAGTATTGCTTGGCAATTTCCTCCTGCTTAATCTGCACGGCTATACCAGAAGAACAGCTACACTACTTCGAGGGAAATCTCTGGTTATGCTTCCTTTTTAACACACCACCATCTTTGCCTCAAGACCGGCGGGAGCCATGAGCTGTACTCACCAAACCTTGGCAGGTCGAGAGGGCCACCGAGGAATTTCGGTGGGATCGCACAGAGCCTTGGTAGAAACAGAAGTCCTCCGGAGGTAAGGTCCGCACAGACTTAGTGCCTCTCTTTCCCAAGGTCTGCACAATAAATCCGGGAGCCACGAGGCTGCTGGAAGTTTTCAAATCCATGTGTAAATCGTGGCTGGAGCCTTTCAGCCGAAGGTGAAGAGAGTCAACTCCTAACTGGGCCACCGCTCTTCTCCGCCGCTGGTGATGCATGATTTCATGGGACACGTAATCTCCCCTGTGGTCAACCTCATAGGCAGAGACCAGGTCGTACTCTGAAATCGAAAGAGTGAGGAGCGGCTGAGCCATTCCAGGATCCTGAGAAGCATCAGGCAGTCTTAGAAAAGAGGACTATCTTAGCAGATGACATTGTCACCCGGCAAAAAATGATGGAGGGAAACACAGCACTTACCCCGTTCTCAGTTCAACGTGTGGAGGTAAGAGGGAAAATCGTAAACGCGGCCTTCACTGAAGTTGATGCTGCCCCATAATGTGTCATTACAAATCTAGAAAATTCTATGGCACTTACAAGGGAAAACAGATTGCTGACCCAATAAAACCAAAACTGGACCTTTAGGATTATATTTCATAAATTTTAGTGACAGAGTAACTATCATATGTAATCTTTTATATAGTTTTAAAACCTTCCTTTAATCATATTCTTTCTGTTCTTTACAAATATCTTCATTGAGATGATAAGAAATTTTAGTTTAAGAATACCCACTATTTGTCAGAAAACAGTTAAAAAGAAAAATAGGATAGGCACTCTTTATTGCTTAATTTTTAAAATATTTAGTCATTAAATCATTGAACGTACAGGAGAACAGACAAAATCCATACACGTTCCAGGTTTCCCAGATGCTAACATTTGGAACCCCCCCCCGGAAGCTCGTGTTTGTGTTTGTTCGTGCTCAAAACCACCGCTGACCCTCGTGGTGGCCTGGGTGCTTGGACTTGATCAGATTTCAAACTCCAAGCCCTTTCAAAGACGTGCAGCACATTCTTCCTCCCGCTGTAACGTAGAAGGTGCTGGCCTAGACCGTATTCAAATAAATTATTTCCTTTAAAAGAGTAAGTAAAGGATACCCCAAGGAGCTATCAAATTTCAGGGGGCCCACACAGGGCTGCGGGCTGTGATCACAGGCAATGTTTGCAGCAGTGCGTTCCGTGCTCATCTGAGTCATCGCCCTGCTCTCTGTAGAAAGTACAGGGAGAAAGCTTGCAGCCCTCAGGATCCCGGGCGGTGGGCCTCGGCTGCCTTTCTGTGAATATCGTAGTTGTCTTCTCCAAAGAGGTTTGTCCCTTTTTAGAAAATTATCATTTATTTTTCATGGTTATAAGCAGCATTTGTTCTCTCATTGCCACCATAACAATATCATCTCTGCCAGCCAGAGTTCAGGGGAAGCTTGTTTCTCTCCTAGACAGGCCAGAACTCGGACGGGAGAAGAAGTGGCCGGCCGCCCGCTACGGGTCAGATCTTGCTACATGCCACGTTCTCAACTCAGATCTGGATTTTTTTTGGCCATGTGAAGGTAGCTAAGGCTGGGGCTACAAAATATTTCACTGAATGATTTGTTAGCTTGGTTTATACCTTTTAAATACTTAAGCATTTGGTGTGTGTGCCTCCCATGGTACAGGAGTGTTCTACCTGCATGCTTTCGGAGAGGGCCTGCTTCTGAGCCTGCATTTCTCACCAGAAATCACTGGAAAATAACAGTTCTGAGTAACACTAGGCCTTTCTCCAAACTTACTCTGAGGGGTCTTTGAAAAGGATGTCCAGCCCAGGCACTAGACTGGGCTAGAGAGACCCAGCCCTGCAATGAGGTGGGCAGTCCTTGAAGACTCAAAATGCAACTTCCTCTTACTTGTTTAAGACCCTGATTCTAATATTCTAAGAATATCCTCCCCTTTTATTAACTACAAATGCTGTTAGGAGACTATTCTGTCAGATGCTTAATAACCAGGGTCCTTCTCTGCTTTGGCCTGAGCTGGACACGCTTTTGGGAATCATAAGATAAAACAGAACAGCATCCTGCAGAAGTGGCATTTGGTCAGAAGTGAATAGTACTTGGGTAATTATTTTTTCTGGACGAAGAAAGTTTTCTTCACAGGCAAAACTCTTTCAGTGCAGATACTTGTTCACCATTCCTATTCCATCCTGGCAGGGGGCTGAACGGTCACACAGGGCGTCACACAGGAATAGGGTGGGCAGCAGCCGGTGCG